ATGGATGGATAGATGGATGGGTGGATGGATGGATGGATAGATGGATGAATGGATGGATGGATAGATAGGTAGGTAAATAGATAGGTGGGTGGATGGATGGATGGATAGATGGATGGATGGATGGATGGATGGTTGGAAAACATAGATTTAACCATTACATTTATTTGGTTAACATAAACCTGGATGGATGGATGGATAGATGGATGGATGGATAGATAGGTAGGTAGGTAAATAGATAGGTGGATGGATGGATGGATAGATGGATGGATGGATGATGGATGGAAAACATAGATTTAACTATTACATTTATTTGGTTAAATAAACTGATTCCTCAACAAAAAAGCCGATGGAAAAAACCCCCAGAGATTTCAACTCACGGGAACCCAGAAGATGCTAGTCCACTGCTGCCCCCTGTTGTTGGTTTGTGTCAAAAAAAACCCAAACATTTTAAGATATGAATGGAAACAGCAGGATTTGCAATTAGTTTCTATCTGGAATGTAAAAATACATTTAATTTCCATATAGGGTTTGGCAATCAAGTTTTTAAAGTTAAGTTAGTAATCACGATATTTCTTCTTTTTTTTTTAGTTGCTGAGGACGAGGAAGCGGACGAAGACGACGAGGAGGGAGAAACTGCCACATGGGGACCAATAGCCCCTTCTCAAGAATCAACTTCCACTTTCTTTAATCTTGGGGAACAGATTGAGGACAGCGACGAGGAGCTATTTGTTCTTCCTGCTGTTACTGTTGAACCCCAGCTGCTGCTACTTCAGCGGCGGCTCCTCTTTACGTGCCGTTAGTACCAATGACTGTGATGCTCGCAAATATTTGTCACATTTTCTTCCTGACTCTTGTTTGACTGCATATTACGTTTTTCCTCCTCTTTTTTTTTTTCATCTTGTTGTTACTACAGACTGTATTAGAATGTTGAGTGAAACCTTCGGGTTTGAAGGTGGCTGGTAGAACTTAGCTTAGGGGAGTCACGACAATACGAATTTTTGCGAAAAGTTAGACATATTTAACTATTTAATTGCTCTTAAACTCTACAAGACAGAGAGACGTAATCTCTTCTAACACACGTTATTTGCGAAAGAACCGTGAAACGTTTGTCATCATCAAGAGATTCTTAATCTTTTCGGAAATAACGTAAACATTTTCTCAGCAATAAAAAAAACCAACCTATAAATCACACAATGATGTTCCGAATGATGACGGATATTTAACTCGCTATACTTTGCCACTGCAATATTTAACATTAAGCTAGCATCAATGTCTGGTTTATATGCTAAGCTAAGCTAATTTTATGTCCAGTATCTCTTTTGGGCAGTAAACACCAGCAGATTTTCTCATCTACCAATTTTTTTTTTTTTTGTAAAAAGTTAGACAGATTTTGTTCAGGAGTAACTATATAACCTACAACAAAACATACAACAAATTAACCCATACGGTTTTTTGTTTGAGTGGTGTTTGTCTGCATGTTACTGAAACTGTTAGGTAATGGTGGCATCGGCGAAATGTACTGACTTTAAATGATCTCTTGATCCACTTCAGTAAAAACTGGACTTAATTTAGTTTCTAACGTGGGTGAACTCTCCTTGCTTTTTTTTTTTTTTTTTTTTTTTGGACGAACCTGCTTCTTCTTTCCCTTTGACTTTACTTTTTTTGTTTTTGTCTTTTTCAGAAATTCTTCTGTACGCAGCCGCTAACCGTTTCGTAATTCAGCAGAAAATCAGTGTAACTCCTCAGTAACCACAGATGCATACCTGTAAATGTCTGTATATAAGATTAATAAAGAAATAAACTTTAGTTGTTTTTAAAAATAGGTCTGGGATTTTGTTGTAACTTTGATTCTTTAAAAAATCAAATGTACCCACAGTCGCCCAGTGGAGCTAGCAACAAATTTTAGCACGTTGGTTTTCGCTAACAACACTATCAGAATTGACCTAAATTCATGTTTGACTTGAATTTATGTTTTGAATGTCTTTTTGTTATGTTTATATCTATGTTAATAATAATGTTTTTGCTCAGAGCATTTTATAGCAGTTTTATCCTTGATGTGTGTTTTTTTCTAAGGTCTCTCGGAAAATTGGTATTGAAGTACTGGGTATCGATTATCGGGGATACTAACGCCTAGTCCTAGTACTCATACTGATTACTTTTCTATTCGTGATCCTTGTTATTTTTTTTTTTCTTTTCACTTTAAATGTTTTCCGTTTTACATTTGAACAAAAACAGCCGGATTTCAAACTGAGTCACGGTGAACGTCAATACTTTCCCTCACAAAAACACACACTCAGAAAAATTAAAGAAACAGGAGAGAAATACAATCAGACAAGGTCATTTCACAACGCTCACGCACGCAACAAACCGAACGGGGAGAAACTGATGAGAAACCACCGAAAACTGTCAGACATGACTATTCCAACTCAATCTGTCTTCTCCTCTCATTTTCCAGGAACACGTCTTTACTTTGTTACCATTTTTGACCTGTCACTGACATTGCGCTCTGATTGGTTCAGCTCTGGTGATGCTGTAAGGCATCATTCATTTTATACTGCATCGATATTAACACGTTAATTCTTTTCCACACCAAGACCAACACAGGAACACATCAACTGATGGTTCACCCCAGTGGATCAACACCTGTCAGTTAAAACAACAGGTATTTACAAGTATAAACCACAAATTTGAAAAGATCACATCTATGTTCTTGATCGACTTTATAGAAAAAAAAAAAATATATGAATTTTTTTAGGTACACAGCTGGAGAAATAAGGAGAGGAAATAAAGGAATGGAAAACCCTACATGGATGTTTGAGGTCATACCTGTTCTCAGCCAATCAGATCGTCTGCCTCCTCCTCTTCCTCCTATCCAAGATTTTTGATTAGCCGACAAAATCTGAGATGCAGAGAGGGGGGAGAGGGAGAGAGAAAGAGAAAGATTGTGAAATTTTAACATGTGAAGAAAGACAAAGAAGAAACTCTCTCACCAAAACAGTTCTACTTATAGAAGTTCTCTCTCTCTCTCTCTCTCTCTCTCTGAATTCCTAAGCTGCGTTTCCATCCTCCTCATCCATTTTTTTTTTTTTTTACCAGCACTGAGAAACACAAGAGCGGTGCTGATGAAGCTCGCGTTGCCATTCAGATGTTTACACCGCGGCATCATGGGAGCTGTAGTTTCCTCCGCACCAGCGGCACCAGAAGCAGCAGCCGACGTGCTTGCATGACCAGAGCTGATTGGTGGAGAGAACTGATGGTGATTAAAGTGTGGAACTGTGAGGTGGTGGGAGGACGAGCATCAACAAACTCACCGTCTCTCCCCGTTTCCTGTTTCCCTCTCTCTGCTCTCATCCCCCCTTTTTCATCCCTGCAGCTTCTGTCGTTCTTCTGTCCTCCACCTCTTCATTGTGACTCTTAACATTTTTCCCCCTCTTTTCACCCTCCATCCCTCCTTCTCCCCTCTGTCATCTCACTCTCAGAGGAAGCATCAGAATGGGCTGCCGTTGCACTCGAATAAAGGTGAGTGAAAGATAATTCAACGAAGCTGTGAGATGAAAAATGAAGAACCAGGTCTGTGTCTGTGTTTGCTGAAGGGAAAATAATGAACAACTCACTGCTTGTCTGTTTTTTTGTCTGAATAATTGGTACAAAAATAAAATAATTTGGCTGTCATGGGTTTAACTTTTCACGGACAAAAGAAAATGCACATAAAAGCTAAGATTGTTCTGGAAAAAAAAGCAGAGGTTCAAGCACTGAATGAATAGAATAGAAGTCCAACTGGGCTTCCGTAGCTCAGGCTAATCCATTACTGCAGATGTAGTTGAATTTTTGCTTCGGTCTGTGAACTACGAACTTCCCGTTCCTGGCTTCAAACTTTCAGATCCCATCTGTAAACTTCCTGTTTCTGTCTGTGCATTTCCTGGTTGGATCTTGAAAAACTTTTTACATCAAGTTTTTTAAAAATTCTCCATCTTTGCGACGAAGTGTGTCTTTTACAAATCATGAGCTGAAACGTTCTATCGTCATGATAAAAACGTTGCGGTTTCCATTCGACCGTTAAAAAAAAAACATTTTTTAGATGCATGTTTTTAGTCACTGGGTCTATTTTAACATGTGTCTATTTTAATATGTCCCTTATTTTTCACCTTTTTTTTTAGAAATTAAATGAATAGATAAAAATACAATAAAACAAACCCTAAAGTGAGCAGAGTGGAAGAGAGGGAGGATGATAAGATGTGATGGTTGTTGAATGCTGACCTCTCCAACGTGCACACTCACACACACACTCACACACACGCAAGTTAACCCAGTTGGAAGAAATGAACATAGACAAAGGCTGATGCAGTGGATGACTGAAGGCTACAGCCCTTTTCCCACTGCACACACCCGCACACAAACACAAACACAAACACAAATTGACAGAGAGTGAAAGAGTAAAACGAGGGAGAGAACAAGTTTAACAGGAAAAAACAAAAATGCTGCATTCAGTTGCCCGTTGAAGCATGGAGACTTATTAGAGAACAGATTTGATTGGAGTGTAGCAGTTGAAGAACGAATGACTCACGGTTTCGAGCACGGCAGCTTCGGTTCGTCATGAAGAGCTTGACAAGCAGCCACTTTTCGGAAAAAAAGCCAGAAATTCCCCGCTGCAAAAGTTGATTAGAGAGGAGAAGCATTTTTTTTTTTTTATTATTCTGGTGAAATGTTTTGACTGGGAAAAGCTAAAATGGGATAACGTGATGACTTGATGTATTCACTATAATGAAGATTCAATTGTATTGTAAAGCATTTTCATTTACCATCTAGAACTGGATCACAAGTGTGGGATAGGATGATGATGGGGTTAGAAGCGCCCCCTGGTGTGGGAGGAGTGGTTTAGAAACCTTTTTTTATCAGAAAGCTCACAGGTCAAAATAAGGCCCCGGGGGCCGGATGCGGCCCGTTCTGCTTTTTAATCCAAACATTTTCAAATTATATAATTTATTTATATCATCGTTACACTTCTGTCTTTTCCCCGCAATAACCAATTTCCCCAATAGATGGCGTAGAAAATGATAAAAGCATTTTAGCACTTTAGCATTTATGCATGACTTTCACATGTCATTTATCTTATTTCACACGAACGCTCCATCTATCTGCTCCTGATGCGCCCCCCAGTGTTCAATTTTAGAACAGCGAGTCAAATGTTTGCCCACGCCTGTCACAGGTCAAAAGCAGATATAAATATTATAGTAAGTCTTGCTAAACAGTAGAATTTTTCTGTTGTATCATAACTATATTAGCAGTGATTTTTTTTTTTGCTGTAAACCCAAAATGTTTTTGTGCTTTGAGGAAATGGATTGAAACCAAAACTACAGAAAGAGAGCCAGAGAGGAAGAGTGAGAGAAAGAGACCAGTCTTTGTTAATGTCAAATTCACTGAAGCCTAACACACTTCTTGAGGGTACATCACTCTCTCTCACTCACTCACTCGTGTGTGTGTGAATGTGTGTAAACGAGTGTGTAGTTGGCCTACTGGTTTCAGCACGCGCGTCTCTATCCTGACCTACGTCCTGCGGCTCTCTTTAACTTCCACTCTTAACTTGGACGTTCGGTGTGTCTGGCCCGCAGTAATGTCACTGTTGGACAGTCTCCGGATCAGATATGTCCGACAGTGACAGAATGATGACACACATACTTTCTCTTCAAAGGATTATGAGTAACTGAGCGATTTGTGAGGCGAGCGACCTTCAGTTTCAGCTACTCCAACAATGACTCCGCAGAAGGCTTTTTGTGCTTCGATACAACCCGTGGCGCTTTATGTGCACTTTCAGTCGGTGGCAAAATTCCACCTGACATCTTGATGACGATCTGATTCTACAAATTCTTTTGCTTTCACTTGGTTGACGACTAATGTTCCCTTTCTTTAGGACAAAATCCGCGAACCTCCTCATCAACGCTACGTTGGGGAGCTGCACTACGTGAACGAGTACGGTCAGCCGATGGCTGTCCAAGAACGACGGGGATGTGGCCACAGGAGGCAGCAGTCGCGCTGCGTTACCGAGTGCAACACTCCTCCAGAGAGACACTGGGAGGCGCTGAGAGCCATGGGAATGGTCGAGGGAGAGGAAAGTCAAAGAAACAGATTTCTAGCAGGGTAGGTCCTGTCAGGAAGCAACGGGGCTTGGGTTTCCAGAAACCTTTAAGTCAAATGAATTAATTAAAATGTAGTGGTTTGGGACCAGGTTAAGAAAAATCTGCGCATGAATAGTATGAATGCAGTCTCCTAAGGGTCTAGTCCAGGGGTCACCGACCTTTTCAGACTCAGAGCTACTTCAAGGACTCAAAGAGCTACTTGTTTGATACAGACTTCGCGAACAATGTAATAATAATCAGTTCTGGGACATACAACAGTAGACAGTGTTCTTACCCTCGTCATTGACCCATTTGAATATCATTGCAGGTGGAACTGATCCAAAAAGCACAGTAGCAGTACATTTTTTGACCTTCTTGTTGACTAGCTTTATTTTTAGAACATACCCCACAGGTACCTTAGGTAGTCCACGGGGGCTACCAGGTGACCCGAGATACGGCCCGCTTGGCTTTTTAATCTGGCCCGCTAAACTTAAGCTGATGATGTTATTCATTTATATTATTATTATACTTCTGCTGTTTGCCTGCAATTCCCACATTTCCCCAATAGGTTGTATAGAAAAGGCATTTTAGCAGTTTTATGCAATACTTTTCCCATGTCATTTATCTTAGTTTATGCGAATGCTCCATCTATCTGCACCTGACCTGCCCCCCCTGTCAAGTTTTAGGACCCACCCTCAAACATTTCGCCCACGCCTGGTCTAGTTCATATCCATTGACATAGGGCTGCTTGTCAGTGCCCAACATCATATAAATACTAAAACATACTGCGATGCTGACCGTGAGTTCCCGGAGGTCCACCTCAATAGCGTTAACGTTTTGCGTCACTAGCCTTAGCATAATCTCACTGGCCATTTGGAGTGACATGAAATTCAAATTGAATATGAAGAAAATTAGATGATAAACAAATGTTTATAGGTAAATATCCGTCCAAAATTTTACCGGATTCCTTTCAGTTGAAGGACCAGTGTTATCAAGACTTACAGTCCTACACCTGCCCTTGACATCTAAACTGCCTCTGATGTCTAACCTGAATACTCTGTGTTGCGTGCAGGCCCCACTATGGTCACATGGCCGTCTCACCTGCCCTATATTCAACTAACAGTCACATGATGATGTCGTCTGATGCATATCCGCACAACAGCTTCCTGCCCAGATCGCCGAACGAACATCACCTGGGTAACAACTACCTGCCAGCCATCTCCTACAGCTTAGATCACCTGGACAGACTAGACTACCAGGTGCCCTGGTTTGTTTTCCTTCTGTTTCCTCGTGTGTTTTTTTCAGGATATTGATGAGTCATTCTTATTGCTGTCCTGCTTCCGTTCAAGGAACCAGAAATGTCACCGTACCAGCCGAACTCGGAGAGTTGTCTAATCGAACGCTACAGCAATGAAGGGCCGAACAACGTATCCAGACAGGTAGCGGGGTCATTTGTTTATAGAGTAAATTAGGTTTTAACATGTAAGGATATAAGAATATGTTTTCTTTCTTTCTTTTCTCAGGTGGACCACAGTTGGCTCTCTGATCGCCCTCTGGGTTTCCTTCCTCTCAGTGAACTGGACAGTGGGCTTGGATGCACTCACGATAGCCCGAACCACCAGTTCGTGCTCTCTGAAGCCGAGACAGACGCACTGTCGTCCCTACCGGGCCACACCCCCTCGTCCCAGGGCTCCTCCTCTTCCTCCGAGTCCTTGATCTCATCCGAACCCAGCGACTCGGGGTTCCACAGTGTCAGCACGGGGGAGCACAGGCGCCTACGCAAGATCCATACGGGACCCCATCTGCACTTAGGCCTCTGCGCGCGAGATCAGAGAGGGCGCTGGGATTTGGAGTCCATACCGGAAACAACTCCAGTGACTCACGAGGGGGTGCCGTGGGCCTCCCACTGCACCGTGGGAAACAGCACAACCACAACAGTTCACTTCCACAGAGCTGAGAAGAGTCCGACACTACCTCGGCACCAGTCACTACCGTCACCTTCCATGGGTAAACACACTTCTTTTTATCTTTTATTCTAAACTGGAGGGCTAGCCTGGTGTGCAACATTCAAACAGTCCCCACAACAAACATCTGCTTCGTCGGGGCAGGTCTATACAAAGTATAATCGTTCTCCGAGTTCTCCGATGTTCCTCCAAACTTCGACAAATGTGGAGGTGATGCAAGGCAACGAGCATTGCACGCATTTATCAGATCTAAACCCTGGCTTTTCCTGGCCATATGACATCTTATTCAATTGTCTACTCTTTTACTCAACATTTCGGTCAAGATGGAAAACAGGAAATCAGCCTCTTATCCAAAGAGGAAGCCTGAGAAACCACATCAGAAAATACAGCAGGCTTGCAAAATACGACTATAACATGATACGTTAGCAAGAAAAAAAACATTAGAAACAGTCTGGTGTCTGCAATCATAAAATACCAAAAGAATGTATTTCGAAACTAATTCAAAGTTGATGCAAGTAACCAATAAAACTAATTCAAAGTTGATGCAAGTAACGAAGCCTGTATATGAAACTACAAATTAAGTGTTTCTCCAATGGGGACGGTAGCTCAGTCGCCTATTACGCCTGATGTATTTACTTTAAGAAAAAAGTAAGAATGTTTAAAATTGAACAAGACAAAAAAAAAGACTAAATGCCAGCAAAGATTTATCCTGACAATCTTTCTGTCCTTAGGCTGCCGTACTGAGCCCTGCCACCGGAGGGCGCTGTGGCTGGAGCAGCAGCAGGGCGTGCACGGGATGGTTAGAGGTCCGGGAAGAAGTCGAACGATACAGGATTTAAGCGAAGGACATCGTCGTCGCAGAGCGAGTCACCCTAACATGATGGATCAAAACTCGGTGACAAACAAGGTACAGAGCACCAGTCCAGGAGCAGATGGCAACACGCTGGCACCAACGATGAGGGCCAGTTATCCCAGTAACCCTCAGCCCACCGGTCCGTTCACCGTCGACAGAGCAGGTCCGACCAATCAGAAGGGGGACTGTCTCGCCAAAAGCCCTGGATCTGACTCCCGTGGGGCGTCCGACTGGCGGGCATTCCAGACTCTCGGGAATCAATACACAGGCCAACCAAAAGTGACTTCTGTTCCATGTTATAACACACTGGGCACACCGACAACCCCTCCGCAGCAACAACAGCCACACTCTCCGCCATCTCCTCGCTCAAGAACGGCCAATCAAAAATCCATCAGGAATCAGCTGCTGAGAGCTCGAGCTTCTCGATTGGCCAGGGAACGCAGCGAGGTAACAACGGACGAGGAAGTGAGGGTCAGAGGCGAGGTGGAAAGAGACAACGGGCGCCTGACGGGAAGATACTGGAGCCGAACAGAAAGGAGGCGTCATCTGGCGTTGTCGAGGCAACATAAAGAGAAGAGAGGAGGAGGAGGAGGAGGAGGAGGAGGATTCGAAGAGCCGACGGCGGGAGTTCCGGAGGAGGAGGAGGAGGAGGAGAAGAGCCGACGGCGGGAGTTCTGGCGGTGTCCCCGTCCTCTCAGACTCTCCTGGAGCTGACCCACATGAAGCAGAATCAACTGAGGAACAGCAAGCTGCTGGATAATTGGACAACGGTGGAGGAGCTGCTGACCCATGGCACCAGGATGGAATCCGACAGTCAGCTCTGTCCAAGCCCTCTGTTATCTGTTACTACTGTCTGATCACAACACTCCCTCGCATCAGCTTTTGCTAAGAGGCTACATCTCCAGGCCAATAGCGGTTTTGTCGAAACGCTGAAATGGTGTAGTGGTCTCCCGGTGATTAAGGAAGCGGATTTGAATCCGGAGGGTCGCAGGTTCAAATCCGTCAGCCACCAGGTCCCACTGAGACACAGAGCATGGCACTGTCCTCACACTCTGCAACCGGGCGCTAGGCTTGAGCTGCTCCCTGCCCGCTAAAATGATGCGTTTAATGTGTATGGTCACTTAAAATTACACATATTTAGAAAAGAGAGAGCCGGTATTTTTTGTGCGTCACGTCAAAGCCGTTGCCATCTTGTTGCTTATGGCCGTGGAATAAGAACCAGGAGGATCACCTGCCTTCGTGTGCCATCATTTTAAGCCACATGTGAATCTAGAACTTGGAGCTGGTCTACCGTAGGAACATTAACTTGCGGAGTCCAGAGAGATTGGGAGTTTTGTTTTTTTTACATCCACCAGAGAACTAACTTTGAATTACTTTTGATTTTGACTACAAGCAAAACCCATTGAATTCCATCTGCGATGATCCCGGTACTAAATCTAAATGTACAACAGTGCACATATAAACTGCACCGATGCTGTGATGTTGCTATGAGCAGATAAACAAACAAATATGTCAACATGAAATGCTGTCTTTATCATTCTGTCAGAGAGAAGGGGAAGTTCTTGAGATGGAACCATCGGGGTTGGGCGGGATTTCTTGTGCGAAGTGGGAGCATGACATTTTGGTGTTAGCCATTTACTAGCCGCTGTTCCCGTATGATGTCATATTCTATTTTAATTAAAAAAAAAGTTGTTTTTAATATACGTCAATAAATATTTTTACCTTGATGAAATTCCATTTGCTTTTCGGTGACATTAACAGTCACTGGACAATCATCTTATTATGAAAATATACGGTATACAGTACTGTGTAAACCTAGCTTACTAGCTCACGGTGAAAGTTTTAGTTGCCTTAAATAAAGTCAAAAGGTGAGAACAACATCTCATCGCAGTTCAGCGCTGTGGGGTTCTTAGAGAGCTTCACGAGATAATTTGGAAGTTAATGGAGGTTAATTAATTCATTTGGAGGTTAATGTTTGTGTTGCACTTGTTATAGCATGCTAGTTAGTCAACGATGCTAGACAATAATCAGAGGCCTGTCTCTAGTTCATTAGAAATTAATCTACGGAGGTGACACGATGTTGCTACGATTAATTACATTGATGCATTAATATGAATTATTATTAGATTATAATTAATTACATTAATATGCACCACATTAATGGCGGTAAATGTGAGAACGCTTGCTTTTACAGCTAGAAAATCACTAGTTCAGCATGGAGTGTTGCTAGTGTGTACATGGGTTTTCTTCAGGTACTCCAGTTTCCTCCCACATCCTAAAAACATCCACATTACAGGTTTGTGTTCATCAGACATTCACAATTGACCAAAGGTGTGAATGTGTGAATGAATACAATATGTGGCAGACTGTCCAGTACACTGCCCTCACCTGTTGACATCTGGAAAATACCCCCGGTTTTCCAAAATTTTTTTTTTCACCCCCCCCCCCCCCCCCCCACAAATTGAAATACTATTGAGAACTGTACAAACTACTGTATGAGTTGCTGCCACCTAGTGACTGGAGGCTTGTTATCAAGCATTACAGCAGTGGTACACTTATGTCCAGCATCCCATACTCCATTGGAGGGCCCTCAGGCCCTCCCCATGGCACCTCACAGCGCCCGCCCCACTATTTGAGAAGTACTGGATTACACTAAGCAATAGGTGATGGATGGAGATTTATTTAGATGTCTTTTGTCGTTTGAATTTGTGACTGGGTCAGTTTAACGTTGTGTCTCCTGTCTACTCCCGTTTTATTATTTTATTTGAAAGTGAACAGTAAGAGGTTGTTGCTCCATTGGAGGGCCCTCAGGCCCTCCCCATGGCACCTCACAGCGCCCGCCCCACTATTTGAGAAGTACTGGATTACACTAAGCAATAGGTGATGGATGGAGATTTATTTAGATGTCTTTTGTCGTTTGAATTTGTGACTGGGTCAGTTTAACGTTGTGTCTCCTGTCTACTCCCGTTTTATTATTTTATTTGAAAGTGAACAGTAAGAGGTTGTTGAAATAACAAAACAGATAATAATTTAAAACTCTACCACTGAATCGTTTGAAGGCTTTAAATCAAAGGTTTGTAAGTTTGCTTGACAACCAAAGGACTGTGCCCATTTTATAGATTTTGTATCAGTTTCATTTCCACCTCAGCCGTCTGTCATATGAAAACTAACAATAAACCTTTATATGGAAATGTGAAAAATGAAGCTCAGTGTCTTATTAAAAAGGGGCGACACCGTCAAGGAGTTTGAAAACTTACTTCGTATCAGTCGGTGTGTGGTCAGATGTTAACGTTGAGTGACATAACTGTGACCATGACTACGCTCTCTCCTGCTTCCCGACCGTCTCTATAGAAACTGCTGTTTCCATGGTTGCTGACGTGCTGGTTTCCAGATTGGTCGCCACAGTGATGTGATCTGATACAGAAAAAAGAAGAAAAAAGAAATGATATCACAACTGAAGTTTTTATCACTACATCATCGTTGCACTGTTATGTCATTTAAAAAAAAACACAAGTATCAATGAGTCTTGCCACGATGAGAGGTATGAAGAGGGACCCCTGTTGGACAACAGCGGGCATCACTACCACTAACAAATATAATAAGAAAAATGAACAGGTACAGTAAGAAGGTATTTGAAAAGGAAGTAATACAAAGAAGACTACAGACTTGTGTACCCCCACAATCTACGTATATGTTTCTTTATTTATTCAAATAATGTTTTAAATCAGTTCAATTATAGTACAAAAGATTAAAATATGCCCAAATTTATCTGTATGAAATCATGACAGTTAAAGTTTATCCCTGTGCAATACCACTAAGTGTCCACGGGGTTACAGACAGAACACAGACCGTTGTAACTGTTTTCCTTCCGCAAATTATCTGGTTTTTTTTTTAAAACTGTTTTCCTTCCGCAAATTATCTGTTTTTTTTTTATATCCATTCAGTTTTAATGCAAAAAAAATACAACACATTAATAATAAATAACGGGCCTGATGTATAAGAAAACATCGCTTTATCACACGTTTATTTCCGTCCCTCATACACTCGTCCACTCCAGGTAACCATAACAACCAGGACCTTGGTTTCTATGGCAACTGACCTCCGTTTTTAGCGTGTGAGGGAGAAGCGAAGTGTGTGTGTGTCAGCTGACGAGAAAAGTGCAACACAAGGCAGTCATTTCATATCAATCATCATTAACTCTGAGTCAGTAACTGAAAAGATGTGCAACAACAAAACAAATGAACCAACAGCACGGACAAAATAAACAAAAACAACAAAAAATCGATACACTGGGATTGCTCTCTGATTGATCGCTGATTGCCCAAGTGAACAGTCCGCGAGGACCTTGTTCTTGCTCGTTAATAATACCCATCAAGTGATGGCAAAAATGAATACAAACAAAGCTGCAACGTCTCAAAGTTGATTTAAAGGTAAATCCACATGTTTTAAGATTGATCAATTCCCTACTCACCTGGGATTTAACACAGGGATCAGTCTGACAAACAATTGATTTACTGCGTAATCAAATGCCACAACATCTGTCACCAATGCTTCTGTATCCTTTTTTTTATATATATATATATTCCCTTTATATTTTCCCTTTATCAACAAAACTTTAATTCCTTTTTTTCAGTGTAAAAATGATATAAGATACCACTGCATATTAATTGTAGTACACTAGTATGAGTACTTGCATATTCCTCCCTCCTAACCCTCATTATCCTGCAGGTTGTGTTTGACCAGAAACTCTTTGATGGTTGGCTGATTGTCCACACCTGCCCACTGCTCGTCCAGCTGCTGCAAAAGCTCCTCCCACCTCTGTTTGTCCCGCCCTATCTGCCAGGAGAGGCGGACAACAGCTCTTAAGAGCGGCTGCAGCAAGGGGTGTGGCCTGTGAGCAAGTGTAGGGAGGGTGGGCGTGTGCTCTGCTAGATCGATCTCAGCCGGTGTTAAGACGTGCAGGGCCAGGTCGCAGTGAGACCACGCCTCCTCCAGCTGCTCCTCTTCCTGGAAGCAGCAGGCCAGTCCAACAAGAGTAAAGAACCAATGAGTTGAGCCCAGAGGCGGGGTTTGTGTCTGGCTGTCGTAGAAAGTAGCCCAGCCTAGTTTTTCTTGTAGTCTCTTGGCATTGAGCAGCGGCCCGAGAGCATCTTGGTAACGGCCAACCCTTAAAGCAAAATAAAGAATAAAACACACACAGAAAATGAAAACAAACGATACTACTATTAATAGTTATTATTACTTTTAAGCCCCGTAGGCCATATACTATGACTAGCTAATAGTTATTATGAATATTCTGGCACAGTGTTTTTATACTCTGAGCTCTGAGTACCACCATGATGACCAACATTAGAATATAGCAGCATAGGACTTCACTGTTAGCTTCCACCACACAGGAGAGATGTTTATGTTTAAATGTTGTATTAATTGCACATGGTATGGTTCAAATAAATGTTGTATTAATTGCGCATGGTATGGTTCAAATTCCAATTAAAAATGTAAAAGTGAAAATATGAATTTTCCCCACGTACCACTAAAGAGCGCTTTCGTACCACCGGTGGTACGCGCACCACAGTTTGAGAACCAATGTTCAAGCACAATGTCCAAATAACCTTAAAATTAGTGACGCTTGATACTGACCTTTTGAAGTCTGAGTTCTGAGTCAAGTTCTTAGTTTAGGGTGGGTACCTTATGAACAGCTGACCAGTCTGAAGATCATTCAAGTAAAAGAAGTGTCGCACACACAGCGCCCCCTTCAGGATATCCAGTGAACACAGGTGGTACAAGTACTGTTCAAAAGCTCGACTTCTTTTAGCGATCGTCTCTGCGGTGAAGTTACTCCTCAACTTTTTTCCTACAGAAACAGTACGTCAAGTTTCCCGGGAGAACATCAAGATTATAAAATGGAAAACGTTAACAACAACCTACGTGGAAAACAAATGCCGGCCATCTGGTCCCCGTGATTACGCCGCAGTGTAGCATGAAGACGCTGGAAGTCAGAATATCGACTAGTAATGACAGCTGGAGTTTTATCACTGCCACCTGACTGACACACCTGGATGGTGTAGAGCTGCAGACAAACAGAGCCAACGTGAGCTGAAGATCCGCTGATACTTCACATTTACATTTGAGTTTACAATTGTTTGACAGGGAAAACAGTTTGGAAAAACAGAAAGAAAACCTAAACTGAAACACTTTAACTCCGGGTTGGACGTTTCAACTCACCACGTACTTCGATGAACCATCCTGCACCACACTCGCATCGGTCACCTCAAACAACAAACTGCTCAAAATCCTTTTTCCAGAGGCCACGGGGTTTCCTGCTCTGAGGCCACGCAGGTTCCTCCATCTTTCCTGAAGCTGGCGTGTCACAGCAGAAGGGGAGGGGCTTACTGGAGAGAGACCACTGGAACTGGTGTCTATACAAGAGACAGAAAGATTTAGTGCATCGTACAGGGGGTCCTGACTTACACCTGGAAGCCATAATGAAGGGCAAAAAATTCCACGAAAAAAACCCGTAAACAAACCCATCTTCTGGAAAAAAAAAAACACAAGCGAAAGAAAGCAGATGTAGCATAATCCAATGCATGAAGTGCAACTGACAAATGTAAACAAACCCATCTTCTCTTGGTGATGTCATGAACCCAGGAACCCCCCGTGTATCCAATTAACCATCCCCTTATCGTTGTATGGAAGTGTTTTTATTGTGTATCCAATTAACCATCCCCTTATCGTTATATGGAACACGGGTGTTTTTATTTGCACTTTCTGTTTCATTAAAACACATAGATCATAAAATAGCTTTTTAACAGCCAGCATATGGAGGCTTCAATTTCAGGTCAGATATCCAGGCCTGCATCAGACCAGCCTCACCAAGTGCAGGACAGTAAGTAAATCTACGGCTGACAAACTGAATGATACAACTATTAAAGTGGGGTTTTCGAGGGACTGTAGAACTATTAATGTTGTTGAGAGCAACGGCTTCACTGAAGATTTAAAAGAAACAGTTTCTACAAGCCACTGTCAAGATGCACAGTAGGAACTAAATCAACCAACCGTTTCAATCATCCAGAACAGGCATGGGCAAACTAAGGCCCGGGGGCCCGATGCGGCCCGTTCAACTTTTTAATCCAGCCCGCCAAACTTTTCTAATTATATAATTTATTTATATTATCATTATTCTTTTGTCTTTTCCCTGCAATATCGACATTTCCCCAATAGATGGCGTAGAAAATGATAAAAGGCATTTTAGCATTTTATTCTTTATGCATGACTTTTACATGTCATTTATCTTAGTTCACACGAACGCTCCATCTATCTGCTTCTGACCTGGACCCCTGTATAAATTCAGGACAATTCTTGCCCACGAGTCAAAATGTTTGTCCACGCCTGATCTAGAATGATAACCACCTCTACTATAATTTTCTGCCAGAATGGTTGTAATGACTTAAATTTCACTGAGCAGCCTGATATTTTACTGTAGTCGAGCGACCCTGAAAATTAGGCTCCAGTACTTCTGCTTTGTGTTATAGATGAAATGAGAACTGTAGCTATTTATATGGTCTGCCATTGGAGGGCAGAGTTCCCCTACCCTACCCCTGCGTTGGCTGGGTAAGTCACAGGATTAAAAAAAGTTGTTCAAAATGTTAAAAGTGTGTATAGATTAGTGAAGTTGATGGTTAGATAAAGATTAAAGGTGTATAGATTAGTGAAGTTGATGGTTAGACAAAGATGTTAAAAAGTTAGTACATAAAGACTAAGAGGGGCGTCACCTGTGCTGCTAAGCCCCTCCTCCACGGACTCGGACTGGAAGTCAGAGTCACTATCGGGCTCCGACTCCTCCCCCTCATCACCGTCCACCACTTCAGCTTCTCCCACTTCACTGCTGAAGCACAGTGTCCCCACCAGTCGATCGGTCACGCACTCGTCCTCTGCAAGCTCCGCCTCCCAGCGGTTGTCATTAAGCTCCTCCTCTTCTTTCCTGGCTATGTCTCCTTCCCCTTCCACCCGCTGGATTCCCACCAACTGATCTTTCAGTAGTGACCTTTTCAGACGGTCCAGAAACCGATGAGCCATGACACCGCCTGATGTGCAGGTGGTCGCGGCTATAAGAGCAGAGGGACGATAAAAAAAAAAACCAGATGTTTGTGACACTGAGAAACATGACAAAACTGATCACTTGACATGCTGTTGATAAAAAATAAAGGAGCAATAGCAATTTAGCTTAAAAATCACTTCAACAAAAAATAGCTCAGTGTTAGCAAATTAGCTGAGAAGGCTGACAAAGATAGTTAGTTTTGTAGTTAGTTACAAATAAAAATAGTGTAAATGGAACTATAAAAATAGTCATGAAGTTGATCATGCATATGTATACGTAAAGATATTTAAAAAAAAGAAGGTAAGAGAAGAAGAAATCAATAGCTAAAGTCAGTGCAAAAAATGTAGCAAATTAGCAATAGGGTTGCGAGAAATTTTTAAATTGATATGAAATATGAAGCTAAATTAGAACTGTTTTAAACATTAAAGAGATTCATCTAAAGAAGCAACATTTAGCGAAAAAAGGCTGCTGATAGTTAGCCCTGAAAAGCTAGTAGTTAGTAAGAAATTAGCTGAAATAGGTAAATGTTACCAAAAAATGGAATCGGATAATAATAGTAATGAAATGTACAAATGTATTTAAAATAGTTGATTAATAAAATAATGAAAAAAAATGAGATAACTGACAAGCAAAAAGCTCAAACATAAACAATCAGATCAACAACTGCTACATAAAAGTGAGAAGGTCA